GGGATGTTCGCTGGCCACTGCTCCCAAAGAGATCTGAATTAGGACCCAAGGGAACTCCAACTAAGGAATAAACAAGCCGGGGGTACCACATGCTTTTTGATGCAAACATTCGAAGGAACTGAAGAAAAGAGACGCTGAAAGAATAGTACTATACTCTGTACATGCTTTGGAGAAGTGAAACTCTCCTGTTGTTTATACCCTGCCATTATGCCTCCACACGCTTGGTGGACATGTTACATTACATGACAAGAAAGAAGTCAAGTCAACACGGAGTTGCACGTCAATTCGTGCTTGCTCATCTGTTAATGTTCATTAAATTTGGAGGTTTGTTTAATCCCAACTAGTAGTAGTTAAGCACGATATCAACCGTCCGATCTAATTAAATAAACGGCTCACGTGTACTTCCCCTGCAGGCTGCAGCAGTACATGTTACTGCGTAGCCTGCTCCAGTGTAGCCTGCTCCAGTGCTCCTTACTGGAGCATACTGATCGGAGTATGTGTACTGTGATACTGTCAGCAACTTGGAAGGTGGGATCATCAACGAGTCTGGTGTGTAGAAATATCCTAGAAGCTGAAACGACGACACCAGACTTGGTTCAAAGTTTCTGTGCGGTTGCTGACACGCAAGAGTAATCCTGCCATTAATCCTGTTGCTTCCCATGCCAGCCTAAACGGGAAGCATGCGGCACGCACGTGCTGGTGCTGCCCGTTCCATCCATCTCTCCGAGTTCCTACCCAACAGGAAGGGGATGTTCTTTCGGTGGCAGATGAACTTGATGCCTGATGGGGACTCCGGAGCTGAAACCTAAGCGCAGGACTGCGCCAGGCCACCGGCATGGCGTCGGCTTTCAGTCTGTGCATGCTCCGTGTCAGGGCATGACGCCTCTCCGGCCAAGAACGCAATGTGTAACTTCCTGACAGTCACCATCAGCTTATTAGGCCAGTCTCAGTGGGGGTTTCACCATAGTGCCATGCACATTAAATATAGTGACACATCAGCAATTTGATTGGAACGAGGAGGAGAGAGAGCACCAGCGTTTCACCATGGTGACACCGTGCTGGCGTTGTTTCCCAGAGAGTGAAACGGAAATGAAACCAGCGCTGAGGGGTTTCATCTCGTCTTCCTCGATCCGCTGCGGCCGCGCGCCAGATTCTTCCCCGAAATCCTCTCCCGCGCCATCCTTCCCGCCCGCGCCATCCTCTCCCGCGCGCGCCACCACTTCTTCCCGCGAGCGAGAGCGACCGTCCCAGCGCGCGTCCCAGTTCCCGCTAGGTCAAGGCGCGAGATCCACTGGACTTGCGAAGGATCCGCCGCCGGATCCGGTCTCAGCTCTCCGGCGTCCTCCACCACCTCGCGGGCAGGGCGACCTCCGCCACCTCGCGGGCAGGGCGACCTCCGCCACCTCGCGGCCCATGGATCCGCCGCCGGCCGATGACTCGAGCCATGGCGCCGCCGGCAGAGGAGGCAAGTCCGGCAAGTCTCGCGGCCGGCTTGGACTCAAGAAGCCGTCTCCCACCCCCACCGCGCCGACTCCCACCACCACCGCGCCGTCTCCCACCCTGACCGCGCCGGCGTCGCGGCCGCCGGTGAGTTGGTCCCCAGCGGCGCCGGCTCCCACCCCCACCGCGCCGACTCCCACCCCCACCGCGCCGGCGCCAGGACAAGCTCCTGGATCCTTTCCTGCGCTGACTTGTCCTCCGCAAGGAGCAAGATGGGGCTCCATTCCACCAAATTTTGCACAAGACCCAAACTCTTGGTATGATTTCGAACTATTGTTTCAGTCAATCGACACTGCTGTGATTTTGATTCTTGCTATTTGCTAGTTCTTTGTGATTTTGATAGATGGTCAATCGATCCCCAAGTAGATTAGTTTCTTTTCATTGTTGTGCTCTGTACAATTAGTTCAGCTAGTGTTTCATCTTGTTTTGTTGCTGCATGACAGCAAAGGAGTTCACCTGTTTGTTCGATTGGCTAGCGTGCTAGTGTTTCATTGCGATGCTGCTGCATGACAGCAAGGGAGAGTTCATGGCCTGAACTAATACTGTGCTATTTTTTTTAACTTATGCAGGGTGAAAGCAACTACTGGAGTCTATGGGGTGCAGCAATTTGGACTTTTGGAAGTCATGATTGGTTGAAGATGAGCTCTGTAGCTCTTATATCTAATATATATCTATATTATTATATGCACTTGAGCTCATTTTAGTGATGATTGCTGCTGCTGTCCTGAGAGTAGCAAGCTATATGTACTTTGTTTTTTTCTACCTTAAGTACCAGTCATCTATATGTTCCTGTGATCTGAACTGTTATCTTGATCACTACTATTTATCAATGCACTATGTGAGTGCAGTTTCAGACTTTGCACTATGTGAATGCAGTTCCAGAACTATTTGTCGATCAATGCTATTTATCAAGTTGCTCTTGTGTATGTATTACAGTTTTGTTGTGAAAAGTAAATGTCTGATGCTTCAATGTCAGTTTTGTTGTATGTCACTTGTGCTCATATATCAGTTTAGCTCTTGGGGCCTGTTTCTCTTTGCTCGTGTGTACAATTTGCTGTGAAATGGCTACAGAATTAAGGATGCATATGATCCGATAAGCAAACAGCAATTAATTGCTTTGCAAAGCATGGGAAACGGCAAAGTGAAATAGCTGCACTGTGGATGTTGTTTCAATACTCGTTTCATTGCTGCTTTGTCATCATTTTTTTATGGGAAACAGTGTATTGAAACGGTGCACTGAGACTGGCCTTAGTGCCCGGGCAAATAGGCAGAATTCTGACGCACAAGGGGTGAATGAATAACAATAAACAATGTAAAAGATATCGAGGTGGATGTTCTTGGAATCAAAGCATAGTGCAAGTACCAACCTCGTGCAGATTTGGTGTAAAGTGCGTGCAGCTTCCCCTGCCTGGAAACTGATAAAGAAAGTACTACTAATATACGCTTTTCCCTGACAAATGGCACACGATAATTCTTTTAAAAAAGATTTCCTTTGTTATGTCATTTGCATCCAATGAATGTCCCAATAGATTCATTCAAAATCTGCGGGTGCAGAATATCAGCGACTTCCGATGAAATTCTTGCCTGTCAGGATTCAGGCTGCAGAGTGAACAAACAATTTGAAGGACTCGTCAAGCCCACTGAACCCTACAAGGTTTTTTGTTTTCTACGAGCAGTTCAAATCCAGCTGAGAAAGGAACAGAAGCATTCACCGTGACAAACAAATCGCAACGTTTTAACAGGCATCGGCAATCGTGAGAGTACAAATATCGTATTTGACCTAACACATCTCGATAAGTCCTAAATTTTGTAGAAGCAGCCTCATCAGGTCAACATCTTGAGGTGCCAACAGGTGCATACAGGTATGGCACAATCCCAGCTTAAGTTGAAGAATAAATTAAGTGCTCTTTGCTATCTAGGACACATTGCAGCCTCTTCATTAGCCTGCAGTGATAATAGAAGATTTGAGAAACCACGAAATGATCCATTGTGCAGTATACACCTTTTGCGTGGAGAATATGGCAATATTACCGTTTTGGCCAGTAAAGTGGCTTTCTCGTCGTCAAATCCAAGCGATTCCAGGATTTTATGACCAGCTGACTCTTTATCTGACCATATCCCCAGTAGCAAATGATTGGCAGTTACTTCTCCATCCTCACCTAACACGCAGTTCAGTTAAAAAAAAAAAAGCACCAAAATTAGATTATAAGTTAAACCACATGGAACAAAAAATAAATAGAGTAGAAATCAAAACCAACTATGCTCCAGACATGCAGATCAGGCACCCAACATATAGGGGATCAACAACATAAAGGTAACTGAAGTAAGCTAAAAAAAAGAGCCAAGTAGAACATGAAGAACCATAAAACTCTGTGTGCCCTCGAATTGCACTAACCTTCAGGAGAATCTCCATTCAAAATTTATCAACCACTAAAGGGCGTACCCAGTGCAGAGAGCTCCCGCTCTGTGCGGGGTCTGAGGAAGGGTGTTAGTGGCAAGCCTTACCCTCACCTGTGCAATGCGAGGAGACCGCGACTCGAACCCGGGACCTTCTGGTCACAGGCGATAAGACTCTACCGCTTGCACCAGGCCCGCCCTTCAAAATTTATCAACCACTATTTGTTCAAAAAAATTATCAACTTATCAATCACTGGAACTCTCGGTCTAATCAAGTGGGGGCCATGGGTCTTTAGTCCCGAAAATTCACCAGGCCTCTAATCTTATAGACTAGTCTCTAGGCCCAAAATTAACAACACGCCTACTCAAACAATGGCAAGCACACTCTAGAGTCTAGGCCACACTACAGCTACAGTATGACCTTGAGATAGTCATTTCGTGCACGGCTTCTTAATAATAATTCAAAACTAGTACTGTAGTTGATGCCTACCCAACCATTCAATACCAAGAGTGCAAGACCTAAATTCAAGGTCCTGTTCACAGAGAGAACAAAAATGGCATCAGGACAGAAATGTGCTGTAAGTACCAAAAGCACAAACAACCTCCAAGCCTTCAAATCTCATGTCAGACTGGATCAAGTATGTTAGAGGAGTCAAGGGCCTATTGGGCCTTAGCCCATTAGGGTTAATTAGTCGCTTGCTTAAGAGTCAAGTAAACCTCTCTATATAAGGAGAGGAGATGTATCAATCTAATCAAGCAAGAGATTAGAAGGAAATCCCTTCTCTCTTGTCGGCCGTGGGCGAAGCCCCGCGGCCGGCCTCCCCCAGCGCCCTTGCAGCCCTAGCTGCCGCTGTGAACAGTACCGCGGGTACTGCAGCGTCGCCGCCTCTCCCTCAGCTCTCTCTCTCCCCCTCAATCTTAGCAGCGCACATAACAATCTGGTATCAGAGACCATGGCTGGATCCTACGCCGCTGTGCCCTTCTCCACACCGCTCGGCGCACATCCCTGGGCTGCGCCAGCCCTGTTCTCCGCAGCGCCGCCGTCCGGATCCTACGCCGCCGTGCCCATCTCCACGCCGCTCGGCACACATCCTTGGGCTGCGATGGCCCTGTTCTCCGCAGCACCGCCGGCCCTGTCCTCCGTAGCTCCGCCCGTGTTCACCACCGCCACAGCCACTGTGGCGCCCTTGCCTGCGCAGCAGCCTGCACCTTCCACAGGTGCCTTCGGTGAGTGGATGGCGACCTTCGACCACCTGCAGCGCCAGATGGACGTCCTCGCGACCCTCGTCCATAACATTGGCGCACAGCCGGCGTCGGTGCCGAGCAGCAGTCCCGCGCTGCTTTCCACCTCTCCTTCATTGATCCCGTCGTTCACCACCACCAGCCCCGTGCCGCCACAGCAGGACAGCGATGGCGTCTTCTACGGGGGCGTGGATGACATCCAGGCATCGGCGGCGCAGCTGCAGGCGGTGGCGTATTGCCTCCTAGCGCGCCGGCAGGGACGACAACACCCCATCTTCAAGCGGCGGCGGCCAGTCGTCCCTCCAGCAGCAGCCTTGCAGCTCACGGAGAGGAAGGCGATTGCGCGGGCAAGTGCCTGCAAGGTGTTTGCGGCGGTGCGGCTGCAGGCTGCGGCGCGTGGCCTCCTAGCACACCGGCAGCTGCAGAAGATGCGCTCACCTATGCACGAGGCGACCTTGGCGGCGGTCGACCTCAGCATAGGGGAGCGTAACCTAGCATGGTCGGTCGACCTCGCCTGGTCGGACGGCCACCAGCAACCGCGCCGACCTGCTATTGTCTTCAGGCGCAAGCATGGTGTTTTTTCCGTGGGCGGCGGACTCCAACTCTGCGGCACCGGCGATATGGGAGCAGCTTTCCTCCTTGTCACCGGCGGGGACGCACTGCCTAGCGCCATCGCATGCCGCCGCCGTCCGCCACGAGCACGTCTCCGCTGGTCGCTGTTGCGATTGATTCCAGACAGCCATACCCGTGCAACCCTCTCGTTTCGATGGTCTCCATGGGATCCAGGCGGCTACTCGAGCCTGTCCAGCACGCGGAGGGTGTCCGCCGCATCTTCAGGATTCAAGAATAAAGAGTCGAGTTTATTTGAAATAAGCCGAGATGTAAAAGGCTTGTTCTTAGGTGTTCAGTTTGTGTCTAGTGAAGCCATAGTTAGCATCATTGTTAGGTCGCAGCTCGAGGACGAGCTGCATGTCCGGGTGGGGAGTAGTGTTAGAGGAGTCAAGGGCCTATTGGGCCTTAGCCCATTAGGGTTAATTAGTCACTTGCTTAAGAGTCAAGTAAACCTCTCTATATAAGGAGAGGAGATGTATCAATCTAATCAAGCAAGAGATTAGAAGGAAATCCCTTCTCTCTTGCCGGCCGTGGGCGAAGCCCCGCGGCCGGCCTCCCCCAGCGCCCTTGCAGCCCTAGCTGCCGCTGTGAACAGTACCCGCGGGTACTGCAGCGTCGCCGCCTCTCCCTCAGCTCTCTCTCTCCCCCTCAATCTTAGCAGCGCACATAACAAAGTATCATCTTCAATTCATGGTCTACCGCACCTTCAAGCTTAAGCATTCATAAATCATGACCCATCAGAACAGTATACGGCAGAAGACAAGACTTAAGTTTTGCATGCCTGCATCAAACCAAGAACACTTCTATGGGCTGGTTCCCCTCATTCTGATGCAATACATGGAATAAATATGGTCCCACACAAAATGATATAGATCCCAACCAAATCCCCTCATCAAAATACAATACATGGAACAAACAATGGTCCTGTTGTAAGTTAAGTGGACACTCATCTTGGAATATATCATCAAATGGTGATATGCTGAATTGAAAAGGCAACAAAAGCTGAGCTCAATATAGGTTGCATACAAGATACGGGGCACCATCAGTTTTAATCCTCTGGCCACAACTATATCCGCTGGGGTTTTTCTCGGCCTGTGTGAGAAGGCCTTCTCTATTACAGCAATGCCCAGGGGGTGGTCTTACCCCCTGCAGGTCGAGTTTTTTTTTATATCCGCTGAACAAGACTTGATACAGCTTTATTGAACTATTGAAAGAGTGGTGTGGGTAAATCTACCATTCAGGTTAAATCACAAATGATTTAGTATCACCACTGCAAACATAGTAAGGCTTGATGTTTGGGGGGATATTTCTTTACTTTGCAAAAAAAAAAAAAATGTCTGTTACATCTTTATTGGTGTTGTTTCTGTTTTATGCCAGCATTTGCACTAAAATACTTTGAGTGAGATGGGTTCATGATATCCAGAAATTGGTTTCAACAAGATTAAGTCATAGTTAAATCCATCTCAGAGGCATCATTATACTTCCAGATTCAGTATAAATCAAGTTTTTGAAACATGTTCTCAGAAGAATTGAATGCAATTTAAATGTTTAAGTTAAAACCCAGCTCAACTGCCTCTAGTGTGGAAACTATAGCTCCAGAGAAATTGTAAGCAAATAGAAAGAAATAAAGTGACACACTGTCACCGGAACAAGCCTAACCAGTAAATGATATAGCAAACAATGTGATTACTGGTTAGCAGGTATACAGGCAGTTACAATTTCAATCTCCAGTGATGCTAATACAGAATTACATTTTGCGAAGCAATCCATATTAATCTATGTTATATGAAAGCAAGAATTCCAGAAGTCATATTGACCAGGGACCATTGGTGCTGGAAAAAAACATTAATAAACCATGAGCGGAGGATCTTTTTTCGCTGTCGCCTCTAACAGCGTGAAGATAGGAGGCACTAGATACCTCATATCCGGCGGGCCCATGTGAAGGAGCAGCGCCAAACCACATCCCATAGGATTGGCACGTACTGGTCATGTGAATAGTATCATGCCCAGGCCCAGTGTGGGTTAGTTCTGTCAGAGATTAGATTAGATTGGTTGGAGTTGTTATCTATTTGCATTCGAGCGATAAGTTTCTTAAAAGTAAAGTAGTCTCATCTATGCATAGCAGGGGATTTTATCTGTTTTGAATAATCAAGATATAGATCAAGGGTCCCTACCCTTTTCTAGTTTTCTATCCCTGCTCTTGTCATGTGGGCGCCGGGCATCAGCATTGTCATGCTGCTTGGGTTCTGGGCCATCTAAAGTATGTCCACGATAGCATGTTTTTTTGGGGAACTAAGGAATTTGGAGGCAAAATAGACTACACAATGTGATGAAAGAACTTTCGGGTTAAGAAAACAATGCATTCTTGCTTAATTTATAGGGGGGCACCAACACACATATGTGAACATACCTGAATACTATAAGCAATTAAGCAAATCAAATTGTGTAATCAGGAGGTGACACTGCATAGAAGCAATTCATATGTTGAGTGATGAACAGCAATGGAAGTTCATATGTTGAACAGAAATTACCTGATTTCAGTTTTTCATTGACAGCCCAATCAAGGGCTCGTTGTGCAGCTTCTGTCAATGGTGGATGCATGGGACTAAAGTAAAACATTTCTGATTTCCCAAGCACATTCGCTGCCTCCTCACGCACTTTGAGAAGTGTGATTCCATTAGCACGCAAAAGTTTTGCTGCACCACTAGTTCCTGAAATAATGGACTGGTGGCTCAAGCAATGCAACATGTGTCACGAATTGGGGCAAATAAATAAAAAGAAATGTTAGATCAAAGTTGGCACTATCAAGGTAATAGCATAGTCCCCACAGTTTGCATCGAGTTACTAGAATGGTGCTTACTTGACCAGTAAAACATGTGGACTAATTATAGCTTAGGTGCCAGTTCTAAGGATAAGAAAGGATACATTGTCAACAATATGGCAAGTCAGCTAGAACTGCTGAAATAAGATCTAAAAGGCTCCTTGTAAGCATGTGAATCGTTGTTTTTAGCATACACTAGATTGCCACAAAACAGAACATGTCTGAACTCCTAACTACATCATCAAGATAGGTTGAGAGGTCAAATGCCTACTACATCTTGAACCAAACATGGATAATGGATTTCGCACTATGAGGCTAGAATATCTCCATATCATGAATTTTTTGCTTCATGTGGTTCTACATCATTAGAAGCTTCTATAGTTGTTACTGATCTATTCATATATAGATGCTGTAAGACTAGAGAACTAGATCAGCCAGCCAACAGATGATCCAGTCTACAGGGTAGTTTATCACACAATAACACCTTGACAGATGACGGTTCTACCCTCTGATTCCAAATGTAGGTCATTTAAGGTTTGTGCACAAGGATTAATGAAGGATGTCAAATGACCTTAGTGCCGTATTGGAAAAGATGGCTCATTCATCTATGAGTGATAGCATTTATTAAGTAGGGGCAAGTTAGGAAGAAAAGGGTAGAAGATCCACAGAAGTTTTGAAATGACCAACATTTGGAGAAAAGTTGAGAGGGCTAAGATGACCTACATTTGGAACTGGAGGGAGAGGTAGTAGTTTTTGTATTATGCACTAAATTCGAGTCACTGATCACTGTACTGTATTTTCATGAAGCATGTAGATGTACTGCACAGTTTTTATCTTTATCATTTCGTAGAAACAATTTTAGCCATGTACACCATATACAAAATGCATGTTAAAAAACAAACCAGTTCCAACAATCATATGCAGTTAGTGATGCATTCAGGTTCACTAGGCTTAAAACTGTCACTCAGCTACATTCTGAATCTTCACACCCTTACGATTTGTAGCTCATCATCTTTACTTGTTTGAGTTCCACAAACCTTACAATTTGTAGCTCATAGATCATCTTTACTTGTTTGAGTTCCAGAAACGCACTTAAGTTATGACATGGCTCCATAATTAGCAAAAAAGCAAACTTCAGTGACTTAACATCTAAGATCCCTTGCCTCACCTTCAACAAGAATGCCCATGAGGAGCCCCTCGGTGCCTGTGGTAGGGTACCTCATCTTCCGGGCCTCCAGCTCTGCCATGGCAAAAGACCGCACCGCCCTTGATGACCATCTGGGGGGAATCATCATGTCAGACGCAAACAGACACTAATACTCCCTCAAGAACCTACAGAATAGTCACGTAACCTGATCTTCTTCTCCCCAGAAGCTACCTCCGGATGCCTAAAGACACAATAATTCCGGGATGGATATCATCAAATTATCCAGTAAAATAACAGAAAAAATTCGAAGCAAAGTAGTAGCATATCAATGTGCTAACTTCCAAGAGATGTAAGACTAACGAAATAAAGTAACGGCTCAAGATCAGGACTAATTAGCGTCGGTGAGAGGTTGGATTATCATCATTTCTGCTTACGTGGTGGGGAGCTGGGCGACGGCGGCGCCGACGCGGCGGCCCCGGAGGCGGGAGGCGAGCCGTGGGCCACCTGTGACAGCGGCCCGAAGGGAGACGGGTAGGACAGGGTTTGTCCCGACGGAGACGGAGGTGGAGGGGGCGGGGTGGTGAGTGGAGGAGGAGAGGAACGAGAAGAAGTTGGCGGCGACCTGGGCTGCGGTCGCCATGGCCGGCCGCCGGGGGATGTTTTTGGGGGGTTTCTGGGTTGGATAGAGGAAAGAGATAAACCGGACTGACTGCGAGTATAGTCTGACTTGAGAATGGCTAGGAGACGGACAGTGTTATATTAGTTTGCCGTGCCTAATCTTTTAGTTCCGAACAAAAAAATCTTTAGTGCAAATACGAGACCGCCATTACACATAGATTGTTATATAGTATTAATCACGTAGAATTTTTTATGGATGTGAAAAAAAGAGAGAGGAACGTGAGAAATAAGTTGTTTTGCGAAACAAAATTTAGAATTACGAGACTACCATTGCACTATTATATTTGTTACCGTTCACATACAACTCAATATTTTTTTTGTTCTATATATGCACGAACTAAGAAATCATGAGTTACTGCAAGATAACTTAAAAAACTATCATTGTACATGTTCTCTATTAGTCGTTTTAAGATTATGTGGCACTATATGAGAATATCTACTAGACAGGATTAATATACTTGCCCTAAAAAGAGTCTAAGATGTTGTTAACACCACCGGTAGAGCTTCTTATGGTTACTACTGTAGCCTTGCGATCGACATAGTATTCATGTTCCCTGGATCATATGGCATGATTTATGCTTACCATTTCAGTATTCATGGTTGGGCGATTTTCCGCCCTACTGCTTTTGAAGCTTAGTGTTTTTTTAGATCATAATGTTCTCATTTAAACCCTTTTATGTATATAGCTTCAACTAGGATGGCAATCCTACCTATGGATAATTATCTAACGTGGATGTGTATACAAAATTCGACCCTTGGGTGCGGATATAAGATTTTGCTAGTAGGTATGGGTGTTGGTATGTCGCTTTTACCGGTTAGTGTTTAGAATACAAAGATTCCATCTATTCTAGTGGCAATCTAATTTGTGGTCATGGATACCCACGGTATCATACCCAACGGGTGCGGGTACAGGTGCAAAATATTACTCGCTAGGTGCAAAATATTACCAGCAAGTATAGGTGCAGATACACGGGTATACGTGTGTGTTGTCTTAACGATTGCTCCTTAATTTTGTTCTTTGCTCCATTAGACTCAGTTCTTTTCTTCCTAAAAAACACTTGGATCCTACAGGTTATATGCTTCTGATTTGCTATCTTAACAAAGTGTCACGAGGCAAGTTTGATCTTTTAGACTTCATGATACTCCCAGCATTGTTGATGCCTCATTTTTTTATACTCAAGAGCAAGCTATATGTCCGGCAACTCCTGGTAACAACTAAAATCTATTAAGTATGCGTACTTTTTTTTTGTCAATTTGTGATTTCACGCTGTGAAGTCTAGAAAATCCAAGTCTCTGGCAAGTCTAGAATTTTTGATCGTATAATCTGCTATACGTTTTATATTTTTTTAGATATACCTAATCATCCTCCCTCTGTCACAACATCTCTATAATTTCTTAAGTCCAGATTCCTGAAGCGGAACGACTAACCCTTGATGATGGTGGTAGTGAGGGCTATGTGCCTCACCGAGCTAGCAAAGCTCAGGACGACGAAAGTGATCTCTTGATCCAGAGCAAAGTCAACAACGATCTTGGTCATGGAGGCCATCTAGCTCTTGTAGTTGAGACCTGCGCCTGATCCTGATTTTTTTTGTTTTTAGCTCTTTTTTTGAAAAAATTTCACAAATATGTCTCTGGAGGTATAATTTCAAAATCTGAAACCTTAGCTCGGCACCATCGTTGGTGGCGCTGAGCTTACACGTCTCGGCGTCATAGATTCTGGCGCCTAGGTCTTGGGCTCGACACAGACATGGCGATGACTTGGCAGGCAGCTTGGTACTGTAGATCCTGGCGCCGAGCTCGGCGCCGTAGATCTTGGCGCCGTGGTTATTGGCGCCGAGAACAGCGTCAAGATCTATGGCGCCGAGGTGGTGTTTTAACCCCAACCCCAACATTTCTGCCCGAGCCTTCTTCCTCTTCTTTCTCCTCCTTCTCGGGTTTTTTCTCTCTCCACTTCGCCCTACCTCATGAATCGGCATATTGGACCTTGGAAACTTTGATTTGATCCATAGATCTTCGAGAGCAAGGTATCCTCACTCCCTCCTAGTTTTCTATCAAATCGATTCGGTATATATTAGTCGGATTTTTTAACTTAAGAATCGTCATTACTTAGGGTTTCATACAATTTTAATATTTATATTATACAACCGTACGATGCCAAGGCGTGAAAAAGCTACCAAACCAAGGTAATCTCAGCGCACATTGTTATGATATGGATTCATTGTTGTGGATCAAATGGGAAAACCTAGATGTAGGGTTTAATGTTAATTGCTTTCGGTTCTTAGAACAAAAATGGCTAAATTATAGTTATGGCTGGATGACCGAAAATGCCTTCGACCCATTGCCTCTGCCTAGTGGTGTTTCAGTGCCCATGTGCTTTTGCGGCGATCCTTGCAATGTAGCCAAGTCCGATGAAGAGGACACGTATAGGCAGAGGTATTGGATGTGTTCTAATTTTGCGTTTGAGCCTACACTTCATCAGCGCCGTATTAACAAGATGGTAAGGAATTAATGTTTGTGTCATATGACATCTTGCATGATTTTTTTGTTTTGTAAAAATTGTATTTTTTGTAGACTCCTCCACCGCTCTGTGATTTTGAGCAGTGGATCGACACTGAGATCAAGCCTGAAGACAAGGAATGGATGCAGAAATTGTTGCAATAGAAGGCAAAGGACAAGGAGATGATGGAGAAGAGACGCGGAGAGAAGGCTGCAAAAAAAGAGCACAAGAAAGAGGAGGAAAGGAGACGTGTTGCTGCGTATAGGGAGGAGAGGTAGAAGAAGCTTGAGCGTGCACGCCGAGTGAAAGCAGCGACGGAGGAGAATCCTGATGCCCTGAGAAAGGGAAAGTGGCCTCGTTGCACTCAGTAGTCTCCATTACATGCTAGTTCTTTAGTTTATTCATGAACAATGTTTTCTACTGTTGGGCTTTTCATTGTGTTGTCATGTAATGCACTTGAAGTATGGGCATGCTTAGGTCATGTACTGCGTTATTTAGTTTGTCAACACGTACTTCTAATATTATTGTGTTGTTTAATATGTCATAGTATTAGACTTTTCATTATGTAGTTGTTTTTATTATTTGTGGTCATAATGTTCAGTTTAATATTGCAGACGTAGTGAAATATGATCACGTGCTGCAAACAAAATCTAACGAAGTAGGGCATTATATAATTCAACACACAAAACACATGAAATGGCATGTGAGAACATGTACCGAACTAGGGTACAGAGGTCCCGAACTAAACCTAACATGCCTTAGGTAATTGAAGCGAACAACAAGCACAAGAAATGACATGTGAGAACATGTACCAAACAAGGGTACATAATTCCTTCGACTAAACCTAACATTCCTTAGGTAATTAAACCAAACAACAAACACATGGATGTGCCATGTGAATAAGATAGGGTCATCCTAGTAGTGTGGCCACATAGCAAATTGTGTTGCACCTTCTCCACAATAGCCTCCCATTGTTGTTGGTGGTGGTGGCGGGGATGACGGCGGAGGCCCCTTGTTCTTGTGATTAGAGCAGGTGCAATATGGATTATTGTAGAGTGCCTCTTGTGAACTTGCATCATTGTTGTTGTCATCCTGTTCATCGTCCTTGTAACCGCTGCTAACTTCCCTTTATAGATCAAAGATATGGTCCTACAGGTAGTAGATGTATTCCGCATGTGGATAAATAGGTCGAGGATCGACCCACCTAGTGAACCCACAGTTTTCTTCGGCCAAGGAAGATTGCAATAAGTATGTCATGTAAGTTGTATAGAAGAGGAACATATTGAAGAAACAAATAGTAATAGCAGTTACCCATGCTCGCGGGTATTTGAAGAAACGACGACCTCCATATATTCCCTCGGTGAACATCTGCACTAGGCAGTCCTCACCATGCATGCATTTGGGCCACTCTTCTTTTCGTTCATCGCATCCTCTCGGTGGTGCCTCTTTGGTGAAATCATTTTTGCTCTCAACTGGGAACCTCTCTTAAAGAGCTTCCTCAAAGAAATCGGGACCAAGAGAACCCTCCCACACAATGATAGTTCTCTTCCTCTTTCCTCTCCCTCTGGATGACCCTCTAGAAATGAAAGAAAATACTAGTTGGGAAGTAAATAGCAATGCATCTAACATTACGTATATATAGGCAGAGGCAGGTTTAGTTGCCGTTTCAATGTGTTATAACTGGTCACAAGAAGTCTAATTAGTTTCACTGAAGAGCCTATTTCAATGGACACTAAAAAGCCTAGATTCGTTTCTAAAAAGTCTATTCGTCGTTGACATGATAAATCACTAAAAAGCCTAGATGCTATAGGTGTATTATGTAAGTGAAGTGATAAATCGCTGCTATCATCGTACTCCTCATCCTTGTAACTGAAAAGTCTATTTTCATTGTCTGAAAAGTCTAGATTCATTCACTGTTACTGAAAAACCTAGATTCATCTGCAAAGCGTCTGTACGATACGATTGGACTATACATATTCTAATGAATTTACATTTAATCTGTGTACTACATTTGTGCCTTTTTAGCAGTGTAGTATAGTTAATGATTAATGGAAAAAATTCATAAGAGTTTCCCTTGTTTCAGGAGCATCCACGGTTACAAACAGAGACATCATTATATAATTGTCGACATAGAATTTTCGTCCCGTGCCGAGGGCACACGAGCAAGCCGGAAGGGTCCGCTCGATGGAGCTAGAGATCCGCCTAGCTTCAGCGTAGGGGTGGTCGATCCTATGCACTCCTCCCGAGACGTGCCAGTCAATTTGACCCTGTAATTAACAAGGAGAGAAAGTTTATCAGTAATTTAGGGCGGAACATGCTGGTGTTGCTAGACAGTCCTGAATGTGCGGCTCTGAGAGCCGATATGAAAGGAGATCGACTAAATAGTCAATTCCAGCATATTCATAAGAATAAATCGGTTAAAGCTCATAGGGTTATGCAAGAAGAATCGGTTATCGTTCAGGATG